GTGATGCTCATCTAGCTATTTTGCATTATTGGGACAAAATGGAATCTCTCTAACTGCCAGTGATGCTCATCTAGCTATTTTGCATTATTGGGACAAAATGGCATCTCACTAACTGCCAGTGATGCTCATCTAGCTATTTTGCATTATTGGGACAAAATGGCATCTCACTAACTGCCAGTGATGCTGATCTAGAAATTTTGCAATATTTCATGTTTTTTCCATTGTCCACCGCAAGAATGCCCTTTTATTGAGCCAGTTTAAATTATTCCACCCAAAAAAAAAACCGCATCCTCCTTATAAGTCAAAAATAACAAATTTTTAAAGGTTTTTTATTTACTTCAGCTTTAAATAAATAAAAGAAGAAAAGGTGAGGTATGTGGAAATGTCGGAGGTCATTTCCAGTGGTTTCGGCTCGGTCTTGGTGGCACCCTCGTCGTGCTGCCCCAGCACCTGGTCCGCTTCTGCTCCTCCTCGTCCTGATCCACCTTGCCAACGCTCTCTGACTCGCCATCGGCATCAGCTTTGAGTTCCTGGCAGCTTCCTGCAATTAAATTTAAAAAAGGATAGTTTATCTACTCTGAGATATGAGATTTACTTATTATTATAGAATTTTGGTATACATTTTATGAAAATCGGACAACTATATCATATAGCTGCCATAGAAGCGATCGGTAGATGTAGAGAAAATGTAAAGCTAGGAATGTAACTGTAACTGTCAAACTGTTTTGTGTGTGTTTTCAGCATTTTATTAATGTTATGAATAAATATACAACTTTTATATATTTTCTTTTATTTTTTACTTTTAATTATTTAACCAGAATGGCTCGATTCTTAGTGATCCAATTGTAATCTGCAAAGGTATACGAACTTCGGCGTGTCGAAGTTAGCTTCCTTTCTTGTTTTCCTATTTATTTCTCGATCGTTTCTATGGCAGCTATATCATATAGTCGTCCGATTTTCATAAATTTATATCGAAATTCTGAGATAATATAAAATGGCCATATCTGAAAAATGGTGAGTAATAATGTTTTTTCTAAAAATATATCGAACATTTGTATAGCAGCTATGTATATGATATAGTCGTCCGATCCGGCCCGTTCCGACATATATAGCAGTGAGAGCATATAGAAGACTATATGCAAAGTTTCATTCAGATAGTTTTGAAACTGAGGGACTAGTTTGCGTAGAAACGGACAGGCGGGCGGACGGCCATGACTAGATCGACTCAGCTGTTGATGCTGATCAAGAAAGGGAAAGGTCTCCTTCACTGCAAGGGTATAAAAAAAAGAATAATAAAAATAACAAAAAGATTGTGGTCCAACCATATTGGTTGGGCTGATAACGGCAGTTCACTCCGGTACGCTATCCCACTACTGCCTACCACGGGAACTCTTGGCTGCTGGTTTTCACCCCTGGCCCGGTTCATCCCTCCTTAGCCAACCTGAATGCCGCGGACTCCCCCATGGCACCCATATTGATGGCAAGCTTAGTGCGGACGTTCCGTCAACATGAGCTGTTCGCTACACAGTAGATCCCAGCCTCAGGCCATCCCACAATCAGACCTCGCAGAAGCACGATTACAGAAGATGCCAACCTTCCAGTCGGAATCCGAGTGTCCAAAACTTCGATTTGAAGTACAATAGCACTGCTTCTGTGAAGCACCACACTACCGATACACTGCTTTATCGACATCCAGCTAAGCAGGAAACGAATGGCCTTGTTGGCACTTTGGCACAAAAAGTAACATTGCCCGGGTAGCTCAGTCGGTAGAGCATTGGACTTTTAATCCAAGGGTCCAGGGTTCAAGTCCCTGCTCGGGCGACCTATTTTTTAATTATTTTTTTTTTTTAAAGGATTCTTTATTTAACAGTTAACATTTAATAAAATTATTTTACAGCTAGTGGCGAAATACATAGAATAGAAATTTATGGATGGGTTATTTACAGAGCAAACACATATTAAGCATATTTATTATAATGCATAAGAATTCGTTTCTCAATAATATTTTACTTTACAATAAACAATTAACAGAACTAAAAAAATAAATCGCCCGAGCAGGGACTTGAACCCTGGACCCTTGGATTAAAAGTCCAATGCTCTACCGACTGAGCTACCCGGGCATTTTGCAACCTCCTGCCAAAGTACCAGCAAAACTAAGGCTCTGCCTTCTTGCGAGCGTCATCTAAATGTGCAATAAAATCTCGACTGATGCAATATAACAACTTAATTCGAAAATGACTTTATTTACTTAAATAAAAATATTTTGCGCACTTGCTATATAGAACATTTCCTTAATATTTTTTCTTGCTTCAAAAACAGTATACAAAATATATTGTAAACTTTGCAAGCCCTCTTCTACATAAACCCACTTGTATTTCAAGACTAAAAAAATAGAAAAAAATTAAGCTCGCCCGAACAGGGACTTGAACCCTGGACCCTTGGATTAAAAGTCCAATGCTCTACCGACTGAGCTATCCGGGCATTCGAACGTCATCGACCGGACAACTGTGCTTACAGCATCGAACATCCTTTCTCCCCCGCCCCGAGATCATTATCAAAACACAGGAAATGGGTACATTTTAAAATAGTTTTTATTTTTTATGCCATATTCATACATGTTTACATACTTTTTGTTTTTCTTTATATTTGTATGGTTTTTGTGGTTTCATAGTTGGATTTGCATTTGTTTTTCGCTTTTGTTTTCGATTCCACTCTCGTTTATAAACATTGCGTCTGCAATTGAACCCAGATTAAGGTAATACATACATGCGAATTTCATTTAAAATTAGTTGCGTAATTTTATTTTTACATGGAATGCAGTTAAACTCTTTGCGCCCACTGTTCCCAGGCCGACAGTGAGTGCCCCTTAACCCAAAACTACGAATGGTGTATTGCATTTCGATCGAGTGGGAAATCATCTCATTACAGTTACAGTTCCGGCAAGTCGCATTAAACAAACAATCGAAATCGAGACTGTACAAACTAGGATTGAACAAATGTACATAATGGGAAACAAAAAATGATTGATTAATTTGTGCTAGGTTTTCTTTTGATTCTCTCATTTTCCACCGTCTCGTTTCCTTAGCGTTTGCTCAGCCGCTGCTCATTCTGATTTGTTTTCACTTCTGTTTTGCTTTCACTAAAATTTGTCTTGCTAGTTCGATATACATAATTTAGGCTTACGATCTAGGTTCACATAGACTACCGATAGTTCTAGAATGCACTAACCTTAGCTTAGCGAAAAGTACAGCATAAATAATTACTTTACATTACGGTTATGGGATCCTTTAGCTTTAGGCTTTAACAATTCTCGCTTTAATCGAATTTCGTTGGCTTACTGTGTCGATCGACCCTCGACTTACATAAATGTACAGACGTTGCTCAGAGGCCTTTGAATAAATAATGTGGAGGGGACGCTGCTGGTCTAAAGAAAATCCTGATTAACTATAGCAAGTTCTATGCTAATTTCGAGATATTTTACTTCCTGTTTAACTCCGAATTTGTTCTCAGTGGCAATTAAAACGATTGATTTTTGATAAAATTAGTAAAGCATTTCCAAGCTGCTAGAGCACTTTCAACAACACAAACGCAAACACACAAAATAAGGTGAACAGTTACAGATACTTTCCGAAATTTCTCTCCAAAACGAAACACAAACATAAAAAGGCGATCTCCACGTGGGGGCGCTCTGCTATTTACAAACTAAACAAAGCCTTATGTGGTTAACTAGAGTTAGGTCTCTACTAACTAGGAATTAAGTACACTCTTTAGGACTCCCTGGAGGGTGCTGGGTGGGGTGTTGGTTGGGTATTTAGGCTGGGATTGGATCAGATGTAAACGAAGGGCTAACGTTAATTAGAAATCACTTTGAAATTATTGCAGATATTAGTTTGCTTAACTCGACTTTTCGTCTGTTCGTCTGTGCAGCTTACGGGCTAAAATTATGCTAGGCTTACTAACTACCAGCTTTTCGAATACTGCTTAGAGAAAGAGGTTCATCATACTGGAAGGACCCACGAGCACTCGCAAGGATGCAAATTTTGAATGTAGCCACAATATATATCGGTTCAGTCTGAGAACAGATCAGTATCAAATATCAATCTGAACTTCAGCTGTACTTGAGAAGGTTTAGGGTGTGCACAGCACATTAATAGAACAATTGATAACAACTCTGAACTATTCCATTTTATTATTTCAATTTAAACAAGGGATGTTACCTCCTTGTGCATACCCTAATGCTTGCTTAAGGAATCGTTTTCATATGGAATCTCTGTGCAAGGGAAGTTGAGAGCTAAGCTCAATATACCCAGTCACAGAACAGTGTCTTTCAATTGCGATTGCTCGGGGTGCCGCCTCCAGTATCATAAACCCAAACGAACCATCTGAATGTGGCTCGTTTCTTAGCTTAACACGAATCAGTTGCAAACAAGAAACATCACTGGATGTTGGTTGATCGACGGGCGGCGACAGGCGGCAGGCGATGGGCAATGGGCGGCTGGCGGTAGGCGGCATGCGGCATGCGGCAGGGGCGTGGCTCAGCAGCAGAACAAGTTGCAGCCGACAATGTCCGCCTTGAACTCCAGCTGCAGGTCCGGGTCGGGCTCACAGTCCGAGGCCAGGAGCTGCTCAAGCCGCCGATCCTGGCTCCGGTCCGCAGGATCATCATCCTGCTGTCGCCGCTGCTGCTGCTGCTGCTGCCTGATGATAACCTGAGATCAGAACTCCTGCGGATACTTGATGCAGTCGGGCGCCTGGGAGCTGGAGGCCGCGGAGGCGAACAGGGAGTTGGGTCCGTTGCCGGGGCCATTGCTGCCGCCGTTGGACAGCGCTCCTGCCCCGCCACCACCTCCCACGCCACCCACTCCCACCCCCGAACCACCGCCCACAGCGCCACTGTCCTGGGACTGATAGCCGCTGGCCGCCGAGGCCGCCGCCGCCGTCTGATATGGTTCCTGATACAACTGATTGAGTCTCTAACCAGTACCCGAAAAGTGCCACGCGTCCTATGCGCTCAGGTGCGCGAACTGCGACGGATGGATATCGAACTGGTGGTAGGGGTGTCCGTAGGGACCCATGTGGTACGGCACGATGTTCATCGAGGCCATCTTGTGCTCCTTCTTCCACTTCATGCGCCGGTTCTGGAACCAGATCTTGATCTGCCGCTCCGTGAGGCACAGGGCGTGCGCGATCTCGATCCTCCGGCGGCGGGTCAGGTAGCGGTTGAAGTGGAACTCCTTCTCCAGCTCCAGCGTCTGGTAGCGGGTGTATGAGGTCCGTTGTCGTTTCGTCTCGCCATTGGCGTTCACAGTACCTGGGGGAGACAAATATGGAAATAGGTATTAGTTGGGTTGTCAGTGAGTCGAAGGAGTAAACTAAGAAACAATTTAAAAATATTTAAAAATAAAATTAAATTGGGAACTCTCTTCTTCAAATATAAATAATAACAATATTTTATTTCCCAATCCACCCCCATTGAAAGTCTTTCAGTTTACCCCGAAAACTATTTGAAGGCGTTTCTAGGCAATCGTCAAACGTTCAAGTGGACAGCACCACCCAGCCCGCTCTTCCGTTCCCCGCGACCTTTCTCACCGCTCCGAGGCAGTTAATTTTCTCATTTATTTTGTGATTTTCTGCAACGTTGCGCATTTCATAAATATGACGTGTCAAAGTGCCATTTGGTGGCACCCGAAAAAGTTCCAACCTGGCCAATAAGGGGAGCACGCAGAGTCCTCGCAAAAGTATGTATCTCGGCCCAGACAGATGTTTGTCGCTTGCCAAAACTATCCTTTCCCCTCCCCGTATCTTCCCCGTAAGATAATGACAATTTCCCGTTCTCTGCCAGTCGCCCCCGAAAACTTTTCTGTCATCTGTAAGGGGTTTCTTTTTTTTTTTTTTTGTTGGTTTGTATCTTTCCTTTTTGTCGTTGGCCAACTGCACGAGGGCGTTCGAAGCGCGTCGTTCATAATGAGGGGGCGTGCTACGGCAAAGTAGACTTTTAAAAGCCATTTACCGTGGCGTGTTATTACGGCCAACTCAATTGGCCCGCCCGCTTTGTTTTGGCTTTCCAATACACGGCAAAGAGTTGAGGCACCGAGTTCGGCAATAGATACTGTATCTGTCTGCGTATCTCTAGTATTTATATCTGGGAAATGTGTGGCAGTCAGTCAATGTGATAGACGGCAACCGCTGACTGGTGTGCGACGACCCCCTCTCTATTTTTGGGGCGACTGAAGTATAGGCTCCGTGTTCCATTGATTTAATATGGGTCACGGCCCATTTGCTGAGTTACAATAAGTTGGACTGACTTTTGCAGTTTTAATGCAAACCTTAGGTATTTTTTTTGTTTTTAATTAATGATTCATTAGGTGGTTAAGTAAGCAATGATATTCTTATGATTTTTAACATACGTTAATCCGATTCTTCCAGAATTTTCTTGGAGAGAAACATATTGGTGGGTTACTTGCTCTTGCCTTGTCATCCAAAATACACAGCGCTAAGTTCAGCTTAAATTTTAGCTTAAATTTCAGTTTAAATTTCATTTTAAATTGACTCAAAACTAAGTCTCTCCCACTCAATAGTAGCGCTATCTCTGTCCACTGCCCATACACGCTTCCAAAAGTTTTCCGCCTTTGTTGTTGCCTTTGCCGCTGTCACAGTTTAGTGGTCTTCGATGTGACGTTGGCGGAAGATGTCAGGTCACATCAATCAGCGGCGAAAATCTAAATGGAATTTCTGATTAAAGTTGAAATTAATTACCGCTCATTTAATTAAAGCGAGTTTGAGTGTGGCCAGCGTGGAAGCGCCAACATCAAAAGCTCCTGCACTTCCCCGGCTGGCTGCCATCCTGAATGGGCTTAAACTAATGACCAAGTAAACAGCGGGCAGACAGTAACCAGACAACGGCCATCGACTTCATCAGTCATGCGGATCAGCCGGCAATAGAGTGAGACAGACAGTGAGACAGAGTAGCTGTGGCCAACTGTTGTGGCAACAAATTGAATTGCACTAATCCCGGCTCTTGACCCATTTTGCTCGCTCTCCTGCAACCAACTGTCAGTCGAGCCATCATATTTGATATTGCAGGTAATATTTCTAGTGGCCATTAGGGCAAGCTTTTTTTTTCTTTTTTTAAGGAGAAACTTTTCCCAAAAAACTTGGCAGACTTCCGACTGATGCATGATGTGCAGACGTTTCCGAGTGCCCTTTACTATTTGATAAGCGAGGATCCTGACCTTGCCCAGGCGTCCGGCCAAATCGATACAGTTTTCTCTCCTCTGGGGTCAGAGACAGTTATTTTCGTGTGTCTTATTTGTTATTATGTGGCTGGCTCCGCGGAGGGACAACAAAAGACAAGCCGAGCACTTGCACTGCCATCGACCATTTACAATTGTCAAATGCGGCTGTCATATGTTGCAATTTGTTTACACCACTCAAGGGAGCTGGGAAAAGGGGAGAGGAGGAGAGTGTTGGGAACATCGTTGCGAAATGTATCTTTCGGATGCGTGCTGGTATCTGTCAGAGCTTAGGGCTGCTGCTGTCTTGGGAACGCTTCTCGAAATAATGTACAAACTTTTGTAGTTGTATAGCTGAACTAATTGCCTTGAAAACTATAACGATTTTTGGATTTTTTAAAATTTAAAGTACTATAATTTCACTTATTAAGCTTTACAATTAGTAATTCGTATAATTCAAAGCCAATTTCAGGTCAGACTAACTTATAATTTTGTTATTATTTGGTCAGCAACCTGAGGTATATCCGCTCCGAACCTGCTTCACTCTTTTTCGCTCATGATGTCTAAATCAGCCCCATCTGCTTCTCTATTACAGATCATCTCATCCCCAGCATTGCCATCCACTAATTCCCTCTCAGATTTGGTTTGATTTCCGACTAAAGATCACCGCACATCCGCAACCCGTTGAGTCCTCAGCCAAATGTCAGCACTGCGGCTTCCTCTCTCCGGGTTTTCACAGCATGTTTTATTTTTCTTTCATTTTTTCGGTTAACTACATGCGGGCAAGTAGCGCATCGCTGTCGTCATGGCCAGGCGCAAAATCCAAAGCAAAAGCCCCCAATGAGTTGACAGGGCAGGGAATCATCCGAAAGCAGCCTCATCCAACGGCACCTGGCATGTCATATCACTGGTGCTTATATCACTTGCCGGGGGGAGATCTCTTGACAGCGCCAATGAGCGAACATTCGAAGCGTTTTACAAGTTTGTTCCCATTTCCCAGCCACCTCAATGGGATGGGATGCTATGGCTTCGCACTGAGATGCCAGTGCCTCTGCCTCTGCCGCAGTCTGTATCTTTGTCTGGGTCTGGGCATTTGTGAAATACTATATAGACATATTGGATTTTGCATGTACAAACATATATATGTACACATATTTCAAAGACAGAACGCCCCAAGAATGAAGAATCTGCTGTGTGACTTTTATATTGTTGAGTTTCTTTTGTGCCAATACCCTTTTTATTTTTAAGCATCAACGGACCAGATAAAACGTTTTATAAATTGTATAAAACATATGATTAAAGCCTAAATAGTTTATATATTTTTAATAAAATTCTAATCTTCATGTTAAGGGAACTATCTAAATAAATTTTCATACTATAAACCCCCGAAAGAGGGTATTTACTAGTCCCCTTTGGCACAACCTTCCCTCATGCTTGGTCATTTCATTTGCATTTCGCGTAAGATGACGTCAAGTGTACTTGGCTAAGAGAGCGGCGCGCTGACAGCCGCTTAACATATCAGTTGGAAATTTGAAATTTTTTGGTGCATCCCATTTCGGGCTGCATGCAAAAATCTGTTTCAGAATTTATTAAGTGACGATCGGAGCTCGGAGAGCTCCTTCGATCTCAGTGTCACCGGCTCCGATTCTGCAATTCAAATTGCCATTGTCCGGCCGACATGTTCCCCCTGATGTTTCTTCTTGTGATTGACACGGGATTAGCATACACGGGACTCGAGGCGACTCCACTTCATGCCACTCCACTCGATCGCTGGCAGGTTCAAAGTTAAGCTGAAAACCTTTGGCGTAGGTCAGACATCACAGGCTCGTTCGAGCCGAAGTTTAATTGTTTTCTGTTCTGGCCGTGGCGCAAATAGAAATAAAAATACGACAAAAAGATACTTGCGGCTTGTCACAAACACTTGTAGCGGTCATTTGTCAACGGTCTGGCGTCTGGTCAGGCGCAAAAAAGAAAAAACTAAATAAAAAATATACAACAACGACTGAACATCGTCATCGTAATCAGCAACGTGTGCGGCACTCCAAGATCCCAGCACCTGGGATGCCATGCCAGGGTATGCCATGGTATGGGAGCGAGGGGCGCACGATCATCTGGCGGCCTCAGTTTTGATCTTATCGCGCAAAAACAACTTTGAACTTGTTGCACTTTTAAAGGGGAATTGTAAAGTTTACACAGAGAAAAATATGATAATATTCTGATATAATTTATATTGTTTAAAAACAAGCTCTACTTATAAACTTCTTACTATTCTTCTAATTGTGAACCTTTATTAATATGTGTTACAATTTCCCCAAGTGCAGGGCAGGGTCAGTTTGGTGGGCAAACGGAAACTCCATAAATCAACGCATTTCCGATGATCGACGAAGATCGGTGGCTACTTTGTGGCCTGCGACTAATGAGTCGTTTAGCCGAAAACCATTATCAATGTCAAAATTCCAGACGAGGACCATTACTCATAGGAAGCGAGCGAGTCGGGAATTTTGTCACAAATTGAACTAATTAAATACAACAAGTGATCGTGATCAGGGCCAAGATTGCTTGGATTGAGCAGGAATTCCGAGCAGTTTCGCGGCTCTCTGGAAACTAAAATTCCCTCAAATACGATTCGAACTCGAACAGTTCCATAAATAAATCAGACTGAGAGCGCGAGGTGCCACGCTTGAGGTCTGCTGAAAGAGATAAATCTTGGACCCTGGGACCCGATCGGAGCAGATGAGGATATATGGAATGGCATGGGATGGGATGGGATGGGATGGTGGAGGAGTCAAAAGGGCCGACGCGCCAAGGGTCGCCAAGGGGACATGTGCGGCGCGGGTTAATTTCTTTCGGAAAAAGAAAATTAATCAAATATGCGGTCGCCGGGCTATCTGGGCATGTATCTGCCTCTCTATCCGCGCACTATAGCCCTCTCTCTCGCAGAGCGTTGCATTCCTGAGGTGATAAATGATGCTGACTCTTTCCGTGTGTGTTACTTTGGGGGGCAGCCGACAAATGATGTGACATTCGTGATAATGAAAGTGTTACCATGGCCTCCGCCCACTCCATGGGCACATAACAC